ACCTATCACGCACACAGATAAACGACAACGTATGTGTACGTGTGTGTAGATGTACATATAGTAAATTTAATATTCCCCGCAATCGTTATCGAAATATTAAGCCGAATACACTTTATGTATGTAGCTCACCCTTTAGCTCTAGAACTATAGCCTGTAGAGCAGGCCTGCGGCGGAGCGGAGGGGGTGTGAATAAACCCGGGACCCGGACCGGGACCCGGACCCGGAAAACCTGCATAAAACCCGGACCCAGAAAACCTGCATGAAACCCGGACCTTGACCCGAAAAACCTGCATAAACCCCGGACACGGACCCGGACTACACACACACACACACACACACACACACACACACACACACACACACACACACACACACACACACCACAACACAGCACAGCACAGCACAGCACAGCACGGCACAGCACACACACGCGCGCACACGCACACAGAAACGCACGCGAGCACACACGCACGCGCGCACACACGCGCACGGGCGCGCAAAAACGCACGTGCGCACTCACGCACACACATACACATGCACACGCACGTACACAGAAACACATGCGCGCACACAGACACACGCACACACAACCACGCAAAAACACACGTGCGCACGCACACACACGCGAACATACACACACGCGCGCGCAGGTACACGCACAGACACAGACACACACACACGCACGCACGCACACACACACAAACACGCGCACACACACAACCATGCAAAAACGCACACACGCACAGATACACACACATACTACGCACGTACGCCCCCCCCAATACACGCACGCGCGCACACACTACACACACACGCACGTACGTACGTACGCGCGAACGCACGTACGCGCACAGACACACACATGCGCGCGCACACACGCACGTACGTACACGCAACAATGCACACACACACGCACACACACACACACACGCACACACACACACACACACACACACACACACATACACACGCACGCAGCGTGGGTCCGGACTGATGCAGAATGCGTCCGGACTGGTACATAATGAGTCGATCAGGACTGGAGTAGAATGGGATACTGATACAGCATGGGTCCGGACTGATGTAGAATGGGTCCGTGCTGATACAGCATGGGTCCGGACTGATGCAGAATGAGTCCGGACTGGTACATAATGAGTCCGGACTGATACAGCATGGGTCCGGACTGGTACATAATGAGTCCGGACTGGAGTAGAATGGGTCTGGACTGATACAGCATGGGTCCGGACTGGTACATAATGAGTCCGGACTGGAGTAGAATGGGTCTGGACTGGTTCAGAATGGGTCCGAACGGATACAGCATGGATCCGGACTGATACAGAATGAGTCCGGACTGGTGTAGAATGGGTCCGGACTAGTGCTGTGCGTCGGATCCAATAATCCGAATCCGATCAGATTTACAATTTTTTAAAGAATCGGATTCGGATTCGGATTCGGATTCGGATTCGGATTTAAAATTGCCTTCGGATTCGGATTCGGAGTCGGATTTTCAAAAATGCTGTAGGATTCGGATTCGGATCACCGGGATCGGAGTGTAGAATCCGACCTCCATCCTGTTACGTTTATGAATTGGATAACTTGGATTCTAACTCAGTCTCAGATTAAACGTATAACACATAAACAAAACAACACAAGATATTTATTTTCGCATCGTGGTTCAGCAATCAGCACACAATGTACATGACACTTTGTCCTAACTCCTGTCTTGCAAGTTCTAAGTTCTAAGTGACATGGTGGTACGAAACGGCCATACTATATTCATCCAAAGTTCGGATAAATATAGTACAACTACAGACGTTTCGTAAATTCGTAGTAATTTCGTACCACCATGTCACTTACTGCCACTTAACTAAGTTAGGACAAAGTGGAACTGAGGTGACGATTTAATAAGAAAATTATCGTTCCAGATTCCCGATCATACCGTTCTCTAACTTTTCTTACGTCTACAGTCCCTACAATCGCGCGACATTAATTTTTTATCGTTTTTAAAGATCACCGAAAAAGGCAGCTCGCGACACCACCTTTTATGGTTATGTATGTATGTATTATAAACAGAACTTCGTTGGCGAGAAGTGAAACAGTTCGTACCTACGTTTCCTACCAAAAAAAACTGTGAAACAGTCACAGAGCCTGGGCCGGCTACTTCATAAAACGAGCCTCAATGCCACGCGTGACGCGGCGGCTTTTGATGTACACGATAAATCGATCGCGTACTATATCCGCCCTGCGTAGCACGCGCGGCACACATTACATACACACACACTTGCAGCGTCAAATAAACGCACACACTGGCCAACGTTTTACAATTGCGGAACCACGATGCAAAAATAAATACCTTGTGTTATTTTGTTTATTTGTTATACGTTTAATCTGAGACTGAGTTAGAATTCAAGTTATCCAATCCATAAACGTAACAAGATGGAAGTCAGATTTTACGGTCCGATCACAGCGATCCGAATCCGAATCCGACAGCATTTTTGAAAATCCGACTACGAATCCGAATCCGACGACAATTTTGAATCCGAATCCAAATCCGAATCCGATTCTTTAAAAATTGTAAATCCGATCAGAATCCGAATCCTAACGAAACGTCACGAATTCTATATTTTTATCCTCCAATTACAGGTCGGAGCAATTCCTCTGTTTAGACGCATGTCTGTCACTGAGCTAGGCCTACCTTGGACCTTAGCTCTAGAACTATAGCCCTCCGCTCTGCCGCAGGGAGGTCTGCCGCCGCCCTCCGCTCCGCCGGGGGCCTGCGGCGGAGCAGAGGGCTATACTCCTATAGTTCTAGAGCTAGGCCTACCTAAGCTCATAGGGTCTATGTCACCCAGGGTGCTGCCGGAACTAGCTCTAGTACTATAGCCTGTGGCAGTTTATGAACGCGGGCTATAGTACTAGAGCTATGCCGGAACGTACCCTGGTAACTATCTGATATGGTTAGGGTTAGGGAGTAGGCGTAGGCGACTCCATAAACTCGTTAGTGGAGTAGCGAGGGTACGGTCCGGCATATTAAATAGTACCAGGGTACGTTCCGGTATACCCGACCATACCCAGGGTACGTTCCGGCAGTACCCTGGGGGACATAGAACCTATGAGTGACACCCAACTTAGGGCCTGCTGTTAGAAACATAAATAGTTATATGACACCATAAATATAGGTGCATCAAATCATGATCAATAATAGATATAGTTCCGATAGATAAAGCGATGTGCATTCTAATGACATTTCGTTCTGGTAAAATTATTTTACATGATATAAGACCTAGACTATTAGGCAGTGGTTGGAGGTACGGCAGCCGTATCTCCAATTTACGAGGCTGGAGGTACGGCAATCCATTCGCTTTCATACAAATGAGACTAAGATGGCGGCTGCCAATTCAGATTTCGAAATAATGCATTGGGAAATAAATACACGATTTGAGTTTTGATGAGCTAGAAAACACTTTAGGTATGAAAATGAACATTATTGTAAACTTTACATCAGAAGATCGCGAATAATTGCCTCAGCCCTCAGCCAAACGCCAAAATGGGCTTCAACGAACGACAGCTGCTGTACCAGTATCCAACCACTTAGAAACTACAATGTTTGTTCCCAGTTAAAATTCTGGTTCTGGCCGGAACTTCAAAATTTGTATCTGGTGCATACCTATTCACAAGTGCAAAATGTGCATGTACAGGTGCTTTTACATGGTTTGTTTTCGTGTCTAGTGCAGGTATAACTGGAGCAGGAGAAGCTTACCTCACTAGGAGGTCAACGCAGCCGTGGAGCATCTGTCGCAGACTCTCCTTCGCACTCCTGCTGGAGTACGGCCCCAACGGTCACGTCGGAGGCATCGACCATGAGGGTGTTTTGGCGGTTCAAGGAGAGGTGTACTAACATCGTTGCGTTAGCCAGAGCATGCTTGACCTGGTGGAACGCAGTAGTACACTTCGGGGACCATTGTAACGGTTTGTTGCTCGACCGGTGAGGTTGCTTTCGGAGCAAGTCCGTTAATGGAGCGAGGATATCAGCGCAACGCGGGACGAAACGGCGGTAAAAGTTTACCATGCCTAGGAAGGCGCGCAGCTGTTTGAGAGAAGTGGGCTGCGGAAAATCCCGGATCGAAACGACCTTCTCGGGTAGGGGGTGACAGCCCCGACTATCGAGGTGATGTCCCAGGAAGTCGAGTTCTTCCTTGCCGAACTCGCACTTTGTGGGATTGAGGACCACACCATACTCCTGAAGGCGGGCAAAAAGTTGCCGCAAATGTTCACGGTGTTGGTCCGGTGTGTCGCTGGCGATGAGGATGTTGTCTATGTATGCATCCACGAAGGGTAAAGCCCTGATTACCCGGTTGATAAACCTCTGAAAGGGTTAGGCCGCGTTACGCAGGCCAAAAGGCATTCGACGGAGATTGTATGATCCAAATGGGGTTGTATGGCCGTGTTGGGCACATCAGCAGGATCGATAGGAATCTGGTGGTATGCTCTCACCAGGTCGATCTTGGAGAAGACCTTCTTCCCCACCAAATGCACTGCAAAGTCTTGCAGGTGAGGAATGGGTTGAGTTCCTAGGTTGAGTGCCTGGTAATCGCCACACGGGCGCCAGTCTCCGGATTTCTTTAGGACCATATGAAGTGAGGATGACCACGGGCTATCCGACGGTTCAATTATGCCGAGGTCAAGCATGTGCTGGAACTCATTCTTGGAAATTTTGAGCCGGTCGTCAGGCAAGCGTCGCGGTCGGGCAACGCAAAAAGGGCCCTTGGTGACAATATGGTGCGTCACATCGTGTTTGACTGGGGGCGTCCTCGCATATGGGACGAGTGATGTCCGTGAATTTTGTGAGGATCTCCTCGTAGGAGTTAGTTGGTTCTCTCTCACCACCTCTCTCTCGCTGTCACTCTTTCATCTATATTTGGCTCGCTCTCGCCTTCCTATCTCTTTCTCTCACTCTCACCGCACCCTCTCTCTCTTTCTATAGAACTAGTCGTAGAATCAAATTATACTAAACGCTACTTTGAATTTCGAGGAGACGGCTCCCTTCCTTTATTCAAATATTCACTTCTAAATATACATGAACTTTACCACAGTCTGACAATTAAGTGGCTGATAATAAATAATTAAAAATGCATGTTCCTAGCTATCAATCAGTAGATGTATTCTCTTGTCTATGTGTTTTCAATTATTCGTCATATCACAGCTAGGATATATCACAATTACTCATTATACACTAATCGTTAGCACGAAAACACACGATGCATATAACAGCATTGTCTTATCGCACTCGCCTCTTGCGGATTATTTTAATGAAACATTAAATTAATTAAATTAATTAAATTAATAAAATTAATTAATACGACTGCATCTAATGTGATATGCGCGAGAGAGTACATTACCCTCGGTTGTAATATACGTTAACGTTTAAAATAATCGGCGCATCAGAGTATAGGCCTACATACAGTTCTATAATTTTGCCCGCCATTCGTGACTCTATATTCTAGTTGAGATTGCATGCGAAGACTACTACGTCCTTCACACCAGTTACAAGTTTACTGAAGAAACAGTTGCGGCTAAGATTAAGTGGTGACACCATCCTTGGGTGTTTATATTTTGCACGAAATTGAGAAATATTTGCATTCAACCAACTGCTATTTTGATGATCACCACGAACCCACCCTGTGTGAGTTTGACAGAGTCTTCAATGTGTCTGCATGCCTAACACGCACGCACGCACGCACGCGCAATGTCGTATAGCAAGGATGCAGATAAACTAAACTGCGTGGACGACAGTTTTGTTATCGGTAATGTAAATTTTTTCACAGAGCTCAACAAACTAGAAATTATAAGTCACATGTTGCGCGGAGGTCTGCAGTTTATTTTCGATAAAGCTGCCAGTTATTTCACATATAGATGGTGTAGGCAACAATTCTAGCAGCTCTTGTTACTAATAGTGTTGTGGTTTTTGGTAGCTATAACCTTGGAGTAATGAGCTGACTCAGCAGTCAGTTTAATACTCCAAGCTTTAACAGGCATTCACTGTGCTGGCATTGCTATAGCAGCGTTTCAGTTTGCTCATTATTTAGGGCAGTTCGATACATGCATAATTTACGCCATACCATAGCACTTTTAAAATATTTTACTATCTACGCTGGTATAAATGAAGTACATAGTTGCATGTGGATAGACTCATCAACAGTCTAAACCGATTAACCGATTAAACGGTGAATCTGATCTAAATTAGAAAGGCAAAGCGCAACGCACTCGCATGTCTATTAAGTAAATAACCATGTAAAGCACAGAAGACCATTTATAGCACAAGATCTAAACACCAAAAATCACGTCGATCGTTCAGATTGTGATAAAAGCAACAGATTTGGTACATATGTGCCATCACATGTGCTAAATAAAATAAGAGGTGGACCCCAACGAATATGGCCTTTTAAGGGGGCATGGTACCCTATTTTCAAAATGGCCACCATAAAATTTCAAAATACATTTGTTTAGGCATATATCTACTTCTAATTAACATTTTTAAGCGCATGAAGAAATTATTACGATAACATTTAATGTGATTAGAGGACTACCTCATTTGCATATATACAACATGGCAGCCATTTTGTGTTTTAGTAATCTAAAAAGAAATTATACCATGCTTCTATCACCATTTGAACAATACATGTGCTAAAAAGTAATGTAGTCTATCATTAAATTAACGTGGTGATCGTAGGTGTGCTGCCCTGGTGAGACCAGTAATGGTAGGCATAGTGCACACGCGCACTGACTAGAGGAAATCTCCCCATCTGTAGACAGGTGTCCCAGCATGCGACACGCCATCATACGTCACTGAAACACACAACATGGACGCCCACGTTGTAATTCTACTACACTACTACAACAACAATAAGATTAAAATCCGATTCGGATTAAATCCAAAAAATGCAACAAAAAAATCCGAAAATGTGAATCACTTACCTGTCCAGGTGGTGTCACTGAAGTAGGTATTGACGGTGCCGTAGGCGGCGTCGGTGTCAGCGACGTAGGGCACGTTCTGGGTCGCCTTCCAGCTCGACTGGCCCGTGGCGGTCGTGTAGCGGGCTGTGTTGATTGATAACCACTTGAGGCCGTGGTTGCGGCTGATAAGGTATGTGGTTCCGTCATGCGCCATGCCGTACAGGTACACCGATACGCCGTCGGTTGCGATCTTATATCCGAGCACGTACGACACGATCCGCATGTCTGAGGCAGAGAGAGAGAGAGAGAGAGAGAGAGAGAGAGAGAGACGTGAGATTATACATGGTGTCTTTCTCTTCTTCTTCTTC